TCCCAGGAGATGAACGTGTCCTCACTGACACAGACAGGCCATTATTCCTTCCTTCCATTTATTTAGCAACCCAATAATGTGTTTTAATATGTGTTTTAGTATCACTTTTTGTCTTATGTACCTCCACTGGACCATCATTTAGCATTATCATTAATATTATTAAAGTGAAATGATTACAGTGACTCAGTTTTAAACTAAAAACAACCAATAATGGATCTATTCCTCTCAAACCAAAGCAGTTTAACAAAACACAAAACCGACATTTTACGCAATGAGCAAGAGACATTTATTATTGTATTTTATAGAACTACAGTCTTTATATATAGATTCACTATGCAGTTTCCAATTTAAGTTAATTCATAAAAAATCCAATCCAGAAAGCACAAATATACTGTATCTGAAGCCTTGAGCTTCCATTTGCACAACTTAACGCACATCTATATGTGCGAATGGGGCCCATTGTAAAACTGACGTCTTTTCCCCATTGATTCTAGGGCTGTTGTCATGGTAACATGTTCCAGCGCTCATGGCTGTGGCACCACATGGCTGGAAAATGAGCGTGAAGCTCAAAACGCCTAGGCTGACATCATGGCAGAAAGGTGCAGCCACAGGAAGACTCTGCTCGCACTTCTACGTAAAGCAGGTTGCAAAAGACATGGGTACCTAATGCATATATAATGAGCAATATGTGCTGAAGGACTAGAAGGTTTTCACTTCACGGAATGCGTAATTGCCACAATTTCTGCCAGTCAGAACTAGAGATTCTTCAATAATCAAATGTTGCCGGTTAATGATAAGCCGATATTTATTTTTTATAGCTAATAACTGATAAATTGGTTTTGTCTAAATAATATAAAATAAAAATCTAGAATCAATCAATGCTACAAGTGAAGTTAGGCATTACAACATTATAATATATAGTATGAAAAATAGATTCTAATTCTAAAAAAATGTCTAATTGCTTTAATTAATGTTCTGTAAATGAATTTGATGGAAATACTATTATGTGGGCTCACTTAATAATCAGAAAGATGGGAATTGTTGGGAATTTTAAATAAACACAATTTATTTAAAATAGAAATCTTTTGTAAGTCAGTATTTGGGGTCAGTATTTTTTTTAAATTTTTTAAAGAAAATATTTTTTTTCTTTACTACAGCAAGGATGTGTTACATTTGATAAAAAAGTGATAGTAAAGACTTAGAGAGATTTAGAATGAAAGGCAGGGTGTGTGTGTGTGTGTGTGTGTGTGACACCACAGCAAAGGTAATCTAAATGCAAAAATGGGCAGAAATGAGCATAAACTTATTTTCAGTATACTGCTGTATAGTGTATATACAAAAATATTTTTTTACTTACGTACTGTGTTATTTTTGGTTAGGACAAAAGCCTGGATGGAGCATCTGTGTAGATTTTGGCTGCTTGTTCAGTGTGCTACAAATAAAAGAGTACTTAATATGAGTTTCAACAAAGGCGCAGGTGGTGCAGCGCGAATCGAGCACTTGACGTGAAGTCATGCGGAATGTGAAATGATTAAATGATTGATAAACTACACATATGGATGAAAACCTGTGTGGTCTGTCTCACTGGAGAATCGCATGCTGTGGAAAAGCTTTACTCTCAGTGATGGAATGGACTTCAAATTCTCTCCCCCCTTTCAAAAAGCATTAAGTAGTAGATGTTTCACATGCATATGCATTATTAAAACATGAATATGCATTGCTTCGACACTCAGCACCTGTTACGCTCACAGCCTTTATTTAGTATGGTTGTGTGAGGCAGTGTAATGTGTCTCTCTAGGGCTCCGAGTCACACACCGTTCAGGCACTGACCCTAGATCCAGGTGGTCTACTCTATTATTACATCTATATTTGATAATGCTCAACAGCCACTAGGTTTAAACGCTTGATTTCTCTGTGCAAAGCACACAGTCCACAGCCATTGATACAGGGATTGTGGGGAAATGAGAGTCACTGTGAGTCAACACTGACTTCTTATTTGTGGCTGTTAATATATACACGATTAAAAGTGTTTGCATCTAAAGTTTCTAATTGCTTTAATTAAAGTTCTGTAAATTAATGAATTTGATGGAAATACTATTATGTTGGGCTCACATAATAATCAGAAAGATGGGAATCGTTTTGCAAAACGATTTTGGAGATGTAATATTGGTGTACGGTATATAACACTACCATAATGGTTTTCAGCCAATAAAATATATTTTATTATTGCGATTTAAAATAACGTTTTCTATTTGAATATACTTTCAAATGTAATTTATTCCTGTGATGCAATGCTGTCTTCAGTGTCACATGATTCTTCAGAAGTCATTCTAATATGATGATTTATTATCAGTGTTGGAAATGGTTGAGCTTCTTATTTTATTTATTTATTTGGATATTTTTTCAGGATTCTTTGATGAATAAAAAGTTTAAAAAATTTTTTTTTTTAAAAGAACAGCATTTATTTAAAATTGAACTATTTTGTAACAATATACACTACTTAAAGGTTTGGGGTCAGTACATTTTTTCCTTCCTTTTAAAAAAAAGAAAATAATACTTTTCTTCAGCAAGGATGTGCAAGTGATAGTAAAGACTTATATTGTTAGAAAAGATTTGTTTTGAACAGCAGTGTGTATATACACAATATATAGTATGGATAGTATGGATTTTTAATGTTGGCAGTTATCGAACATAACATTAAAGCATGTATCTGACTGTACTGACCAGAATTTTAATATTACAACATTCCTAAAGTATATATTCCTATAAGTTTATATTATATATATATATATTCATAAGTTTCTCTGGCTGTCCATTTTTGCCTGACGAATATAGATTTTTGTGCAAATTGTAAAAGGTTAAGTGGTTTACAATAATTATAATGATTTGATTATAGCATTATTACTTAAGGAACAAAATTACATAACGATTGAGAAAACAAATTGTCTTATTTTCTGCTCTTTCTTTTCAGTTTTTTCTTGATTTCTTCTGAACATTAATTTATACAGTGTAAGATCATAGGAATAACACCAGCCTCTTTAATTAGTCTCTAGATACGCGACTGAAGAGCGCGCCTCCAGGAAGTGCTGTCCTTTGTAGCCCAGTCCCACCGAGATCCGCAGGCTTTCACGGAGTCTCTATGACTGTGTCCTCAAGTTGTTGGTTTTGACCTGATTTACTCAGAATCAACAAAGGGCCGGGCCGCCACAGCGCTGCGATGAATCTCAAACAGGCACAGAGGTGACGAGTACTGTGTAAGGAGACAACAGTGGGCAGGTGTGCATGTCAGATTGACAGCGGAGTTTAAACACAACTCTCCTCACGCCTCAAGCTCATGTGTGCACGCTCACGTTTCACATGTGTGATTCTGTGTAGGTAGCTGCTGGTCACTGATAAAAAAAAAAGCCCATTTCGTTTACCTGATGGCTGTCAATCAGTTTGTGGCAGCTCCATAGTGGACCCTGCCTGGGGGAATTATGGAAGTTTGTGTTTTGATGGCAGTTGTGAGACAGGAAAGCAATAGAACGAAACCGTCTCAGAGGAGTTAACACAGATGCTCACCTGTCAGTATCAGAAATGAGGAAAGTTGTGTGTACGTGTGTGTGTTTTATGTGTTTGTGTGTATGAAGTGAAGTCAGTGATCAGGAACAGCTAGACAGATCCTGGAGCATTTCGAGTGGTCATACCACCCTGTCTGGACCTGTTCTGGTAGTCTGTGATAAGAAAAAGTGAAAGAGCAAGTGTGTGTGTGTGTGTGTGTGTTTTAAATATCAATCATCAAAGACCAGGTCTTCTCAGCATAGACTCATAGACTTGTGCTTGCTTTGATTTAGAATAAGAAAATAACTAATGCTGTATATCTCCTTAGATCCCAAAAATGAAAATTCTGTAATATACTGGAAATCATTTATTTACACACACATACACGGCTATATATACACGTGTATGTATGTGTATATATATATATATATATATATATGTATATATGCCGTACATTACGGGAGTGACGGAAAATTTGTCATCCTTCTCTTTTCTGACTGGTTTTCTGTAATCAATCTCTCAATATTTATAATTTTTTTGGAAAGTCGTAGAAACGCTATTGTGGATTTTTGTGGATTGGGGCAAATGGGAAGGCAAAATTATATTTGTCGTCATTTCTATTCACCACTATAGAGGTTTAGCCAACTATGACGACTTCCAGTTCTGAGAATCCCAAAAAATATGAAAATGGTCTCTGAACAAGGACTAGTGCTTCAAAATGAACATATAAGTACAATGAAAGTATTATAAATGTGGTCCATACTACTCATGCTCTATATTCTATATATAGTCGTTTGAAATAATATAATAGTGTGAGAAACAGACTGAAATTTGACATTTCTGAACTCAAGATCATGATCACTCTGATTTGTGATTGAATCATTCAAACTGATTCATTGAAACGTTTTGACTCAAAAGAATGATTTGTTTACTAATTGGACATCGAAGCTTCTCTCATGAACTCTAGAGAGGAGGGCAACACTTTCAGTGTATTACGAGTCAAATTCTAATCTATTTATATGGCTTCAGAAGACTTGAGTGGTATGGACCACTTTTATTATGCTTTTGTGTCCTTTTTGAAGCTTGAAAGCTTACATTCTGTGTTCCACAAAAGAATGTCATGCAGGTATAGAATGTTAAATTATGTCAATTTTCATTTTTGTATGAGCTGTCTAAAACCAGGTCCTCCTAGCAGATTGCTTGTGTTGAGACAGTGCTTTCATTGATTCTGAAAATGAAAGCATCGATAATAATGTCGTGACTCCTACGTCTCTTCAGACAGGAGCTCGAAAGGTCATGTGTTAACTAAAAGAGTTTTTAAACTGAGTGCTTGTTTGCATGAGCTGTTTTACAAGGGTCTTTTGTTCCGCCCTCATATGACTGTAGTCTTCTAGAACGCTGCACTTGTCACATGATTGTGGCTTTCTAAAATTGATTCTTATGTCTGTGTCTCTTTATAGGTTGCAGAGGAAAGCTGTGTGGATTTGGAGCGGTGTGTGAGAGAAACCCGACGGACCCCTCTAAAGGAGAGTGTGTTTGTAAGAAGATTGTATGCACGTCTGTGGTGGCGCCGGTGTGCGGATCTGACTCCTCTACCTATTCCAATGAGTGTGAGCTGGAGAAGGCCCAGTGCAATACACAGAGGCGCATTAAGGTGATGCGCAAAGGCCCCTGTGGTGAGTCTAGTCACATGCAAAACCCTCTATCTATACTTGTGAGGACCGCCTGACCGTTATTCTTAAATTAAAGGGAAAATTCACAAAAAATCATCCTTGTGTCAAACTCTCTTTTTGACTGTGGAACACAAAAGAGTTTTCTCTTACAGTCCATTTAAACAGTGAAACTGTATTTTTCTTACACCAGAAGTTTTTTTTATGCCATGGACCCCAAAAATTAAAATATCAATTAGTAAAAAAGGTACATTAGGCTGTTTCTGGATGAAAAACATTTCCAATTCAATTTAAATTAAAATATTTAAAATATAAATATTCAACCTGAATTTGAAAAAAAAGTTATATTTACTTATTTATTGAGAACTTAGAACACTTTTGGTCATTTATTATTTATTAGTTGGCTCTTTTTAAGTTTTAGTTAGACTAATTTGGAGCATCCTTGAAAGTTGCATTTACTACATGACAGGGTCAAGTGAGATATTATATTAACACCCTTACACTTGCTCACAAATTCAAATTTTTCAAATTCAAGCTTATTTGATGCATGCCAAAAACAATAATTATCCCTATTTTATGACAAGTTTCCATATTCACGAATCCCCACATGGATAGATGGTCTATGGAGTAGAGAATATGAGTTTTGTGTTTTCTACACTGTTCATCATGTATATTCCAATCAGTTTCATTCCACGAATGATAACTAATATGTGAAATGTGGCTCGTCATTAAGCGAGGCTCTGTGGCAGTGGGCCAGGCCAGCGTGAGCCATAATTACGTGATTCGGTGGAACATGCCGTACAAAACCTTCAAAGAGCACTAATTAGCCACCTCACATGCTGTCTAGCAGGAAATGATCAGTCCAGGGGAATGAGAGCTCCAGCCTACCTGTGAACTCCAGCCTCCATTGAGAAGCGCATTAAAGATCACGCTGTCCCGGTGTGTTAATGCAGTTGAAGTTCGGCTCCATGCTATTCAGCGCTGGCTCCGCAGCAGGGCTTTAATGGGCAGTAGCCTCCCTGCTATTGCGCTAATGAAATTGACAGTGTGGCTATCAGGGGTCATATCTCTCTCGCTCAAGTGGGATCAGTGGCCATAGATAACGGACGGTTCAGTGTTTCTCCTGGGCAGAAAGGTTGAGATGGGAGATGAGAGTCAGGTTAGCAGCCGAGTTCTACTCCGGTGGTATCCAAAATTAACCCTTGGCCATTTTTTTTGGTAAAAAATATGCAAAGTTTTTTTTGATTACATACAGTGGTGGCCACAATTATTAGAACACTAGTATTTGATTGTTGAATCAAATGTTGATTTAATTTAGTTAATAGAAGTTAATTGATAAAGAAAGTCTATTTATGACATTATTTTTGACAGCACCCTCATTTTACAGCATTTTTACACAAGTGCCTAAAACTTTTAACAGTACTGTAGCTTTGCAGGAAGGTCTCTTAAAGCATCTTGGAGACGTTGCCACAGTTCATCTGGATTTAGTCTGTCTCAGTTTGTTCTGTTTCTTCATGTCATTCCAGACAGACCGGATGATGAAGAGATCAGATCTCTGTGTGGAGCACTGACTTTTGTCAGACTCCTTTTGCAAACAGAAATCTCACTGGAATATTACAATTAATGGCAAAATGAATGTTTGGAAATGTAAACTGAGATTTCCTACTGACACACTACTGCAAAAGATAGAAATAACTGACTTAAAATCATTTTTTTAGCTGGTGAAAATACTAGTGTTCTAATAATTTTGGCCACCACTGTAATAGTAAATCTTATTCTAAATATTTTATAACAGTAAATATAAAAGTGTAATATTTTAGAAAAGTCTGTATGCTCACCAAAGCTGCATCTATTTAATCAAAAATAATGGCAAAACTGATTTTTTTCTTTACTCCTGTCTACAGTGTCCCATGATCCTTCAGAAACCATTCTAATGTGCTGATTTGCTGCTCACGTAGCATTTCTTATAATCAGTGTCAATGTTGAAAATGGCTATGCTGATTAGTTATTATTTGGAAACTGAATCAAAAGTGTCCAAAATAAAAATGTTTATAGCTGGTTAGGTTTTTTCAGTTCACACTGCATTGGCAGGGATGGCAAAGGGTTAATTCGCACCCCGGGCATGGGATAAGAGGTGATACAGAAAAAGAAATACAGAGAGGTGCTCTGTTTCTAAAGATGAGCAGGGGAGCGTGGGTGCTTTGATAATATTGAACTCCGGTGGGTAAACAGAGTCTCCAGCTGTTTGTGTGAGTGAGTGAGTCAGTCAGTCATTCAGAGAGTCAGCGAGCGGAGGAAAGAAGTGGAGTGTGTGCGGAGCTCATTTCAGGCGAGCCGTATGCTGGAACTCGTCTGGATTGGCAGCGGCGCAGCGGAGCATTGGGCCAGAGCGATTGATCAATGAAATGATTGATCATATGTGTGCAGAGCACGTCTGGAATTACTGTGATTGCCAGGAGCGCTCTCTTTTCTCACTCTGTTTTTTTTACACATTAACGTCTCTTCACCTCCAGCCTGACTCGGCTGATGAAAACCGCTTTTGAGTACCCACAGCACGGAGGAGGTCAAATCTGTGCATCAAATATTCACTCCCTAAACCAGGCCTACAACTTAAACTAGCCGCAGAGGCTGAAACTGTCGGCTTCTGTTGTCTAAATGAGGTTATTCTGCTGTACAGAAGAGCGGGGGAGGAAAAGCCTTAACCTCAGGGTATCATGGGAAGCTGCTTAATGGAGGAATCAATATGTTTGTCCCGTTATTGACGGCTGAAACTGTGTTCCTTCACTTGGGAAGTATGGCTCATTTCTCTCAGATCCTTTACCTGCTATAACTCCAGGTGTTGATACTATTGGACACATATGGGCCGTTTTTCTCCCTTGGTTGCTTCTCACACTCTCCGTCAACCGGTTCTCACGTCATGGCGTGCTACATGTGTGTTTTACTGTCCTTTAATAATGTCAAAGCTGACATTCATCCAAGCATGTAACAGTTGCAGCAGCAGCCATGAGAGACTGTTGATTTATGATCTTTCAGCAAACACATCTTAGTCAATATGAAAGCAACTCTCTGAGTTTACCCCGAGGCTAAGTAGCATAGGGATATACTGCTTGAACATAGTAGTGATCCATCTCAGAAGAAAAGGACACAATGTGTTCAAAGAAATGATTGATTAATAATGCTTGGATGTATATGTGTGTGTGTGTGTGTGTATTTATGTATATGCATGTATGTGTGTATATATATATATATATATGTATGTCGCACTAGAGTCACAGAAAGTGTCATCGTAGTGTCACCTTTCAGCAAAGCTTTCATATATATTTCATATATATTTAATTATTTATTCTGAAATGATTATTTATTAAAGCTTGATGCTAAAAGGTGTGGTGTATTGCTTGCAGTGTTGCTTTGCAGTTTCTAGGGATTTCTGGATGTTTTTTTGGTGATAGAGCCTGTAACTCATAGAATATTCAGGCTCATACCTTGAACTTGTCTATGGGAATTTTTCACATTTTGTTTTATTATAATTTTGTTGTTGTTGTTTTGTGTTTTGTTTTGGTCTGTTGGGGTTGTCCGTTGTTTATGCTTTTGGTTTTTTGTTTTGAGTTTTATTTATTTAATTTTTTGTTGTAGTTTTTTGTTTGTTTTGTGGTGTTTGTTTTTGTTTTGTTTGTTTGTTTTTTGTGTTTTTTGCTTTGATTTGCTTTATGTTTGCTTTTTGTTTTCAGGGCAAACGTTCAAGTTAGATTACTTAAAAATATATTAGTACACCTCTTTTCAACACGTGACTTGATTTTAAGTATGAAGTTTATACTTCAACTTTAAGGATTTGTTAATGGTTTAGGTGTGCGTAAATGCACTTTTGTCTCCCGTATTAGAGACATGGTGTGAAAACTAACGTCCTGTTTGGCTGATTGTTGATTCCCCGTGATGGCTCGTTATTCAGGCACAGCTCGGGTCCTGGTGACACCTCCACAGCCACTGAGCTCGGCAGCCACCACCGATGGCACATAGCCAGCCCTGCCTCGTGCAAATTAGTTTTTCGCTCGCCCTGTTCCACCCCTACGTCGGCTCCCATGCTCGTGCATGGAGACGCTCACCACAACACATTCACCTGTCTCCATGACAGGAGACTCAATTCACACTCATCAGCGGCTTCTCGGCTTCCTTACTCCATCTGCAGAAAAAACCCTGCGGTTCCTCACTCTCAGACTAAATTTAGCTTGGGTTACGTCTACTACACAGTCTGGGCCTGTCCACCGGCAAACAATTATAGCAAGATCGGCAGTCTCCTTCAATAATGGAGTTCTTTAAATGAATTCTGGAAGCAGATACTCTGTGATCTAGCAACATCCATCATAGAGATGTTTTTTTTTCTTCTGAAAACCTCATTCAGCTGAAAACCAGTGTGATTTTCTCATCTGAAAAATGTTGCTAATATGATCCAGCATGCTTCTGGTAAATAGTATTAGGGGTCTATGTGAATCTGCACAGGGCAATAAAACATAAACATGCTCTGCAAATGTGATGCTTTGACCCAAAACAATTGGCAATTTTGCATTTTAATACTATTTGGTTTTAAATTCTAAGTTGTTAATGTGGTTTCAAACTTTCAGACCTCCATATTGGGTTCCATCAGGCTCAAATCTGGTATATCACATGCAGCTTGTCTTATACCAACACTTCCACACAGCTACTCTATATAGGCTCACACAAAAACACCCAGCTGTCGACGAGAATATGATCAATGCCATCACCAGAGCTTCATTCTGCTGCTTATCCCCTGGAGAATGAGGATACTTCTTATACAAATCTGTTTCTCTCGCTCTCCTCCTCTGTCTCTCTCTCTCTCTCTCTGCCGTCCTGCTCACTTCCAAAGGGGGAGGATGTAGTGTTGAAGTGAGATAAGGCAGATTACAGCAGGACGGGCACATTAAAAAGGCACATTTTCCACGCTCTCGCTTCTAATACCAGATGGGAGACGCGTTTTACAACTTATTCATGTATTCATGCATTTGACTGGCCTGAATAATGCATTGTTATTTTTAACCCCTACCACACTCGAGTGGAGTATTGAGTGCAACAATCAGGGACTTACTAACCGTTAGAACATTTCTACCACTTTCAGAAATTTCTGAGGACCCCCTGTCCAATTTTTAGACAATAATAATTGTATTTTAAGAGCTTCGTTTGCTGACCAGAGTGCACTGAATAAAAATGTAGGCGGCTGCATAAAAATGTCTGTTTATAGACACAACATTTTCATCAGCTGTTGATCGATTAATCGTATTCTGTGTGGTATAATATGGCTACTTTCCTGATGTCATCTAATTAATATTCATGAGCCAAGCTGATCATTGGAGTACAGCACTGCAGTAAAAATCCCATTGACTTTCTTTATAGAAAAACCTATTTCAGCAATAAGAAAATTTGAATCTCTCCTGTGTATATATTTGTCTATTTAGTAATAAACTTCAACTGTATAGCATTTTGTACTTTGTATGTCTATAAGTAGATCTGATTCATAGACGTCTGATTCTACAAATTCAGTTATGTCATTGACAATGCTTCATGGGCTACGTAGTTCATTGCCTCATAAAAGACGTACACAGCCTTTGGCTTTTTCTCTGATTTTCAATTGTATTTTTGCTTCAAAAAGTTTGTAATGTTGTGATACATCTCAGAGCTGGGTGGTTTGGTTCATGGCTCTTTTTATTGAATTATTTTTTTTAAATCCCTATGGAGAAAATAAATGGGAAAAATTCTGGAATCAAGGCCGCTGACAAAGTGAGTGATCGTTATTGCACTAATTTGAATTAAATAGAGTATCTATTACCCTGTATTTACCACATCTGTACAGTATGTCTACCATGCGCCTTGATATTTGATGGCCGCAGAATGCTTCAGGACACATTCTGTGCTTTTGAAAGTAAATCATAAAGGCATCTTAAAGAGACAATCGCAGCTGATTGGGTATGATTATATTTTACCTTTGAAAACAACGTTTGAATGCACTCACATACTTAAACACATGCGCTCGCTGTGCCAGATAATGAGTATTGACTGTTACATTCAGCTTCCTGTTTGTGTAGCACACAGTCAGACACGCCGCTACACACCACTACCTTTCCCGCCATCTTCATGATAATAAGCTGCTATTTGTCCTCTTTCTTACCCTTTCCTTTTTCTATCTTCCTCACCAGACATCTTCTTCCAAATGACTAGTACCTCTAAACAAGATGAGTTCATTTCGGCTCATAATTACATTTCCCTCCAACGATGTCCTTCTCTTCTGCGACCTTTCCTGAATCACGTACACAGACCCACGCCACTTTACACGCTTGCACATTCAAGCGTGCACAAATACAAAGCCATTCATGAATACTTGCCTGTGTCCACTCAAGGCCCTTTGCAGTAATCACAGAGGTGTCTGCCTGACCTCTCTCAGGTTAATGCAGGAGAGCGCAGCTCTTCCCATCAGCCAGCGGGGTTCTGGTGACAAAGAGATTCTTCACATGACCCTCTCTAGAACTCTTTGTGTTTTACTGTCTCCATGGAGCACACAGGTGCAGGAGAGGTCAGCCACTTTTGAGTATTTCTTTTAAATACTGTTCTCATTTCTTCATGATGTTGTAGAGATCAATTAGTAGTCAAATTCACCTGTTCTAATCAGTTGTTTATATAGTAAAACAAGTTGATCTATCTATTGTTCTATTAGAAAAGTATTCTGAGTACTTTTTGATTACTTTTAGATTACCTTACTCAAAAAAAAATACTTTCCATTCTTTGTTATCCACCTCAAGAAGTGTACTGGACATTATATTACACCAAGGTTTCCCAAACCTGGGTTCGAGATGTGATGAAAAGCTAATAATTAAATCATAAAAATGTCTATTAATTAGGGATGCACCGATACCACTTTTTCCAGTACTCGCCCGATACCGATACTTTTATTTTTGGTACTTTTTAAGTTTTTATTACTTTCACTGTTCATTTTTTTGCTCTATGGTACATCATCTTTAATTTAATAGCATTAGATCTGCTCCATTTCAGGGGCTTAGCACTGTAATCACGCGCTTCGCTATAATAATGCAGGGAACCACTCGTTATAAATCTCCTAACTGTGATATTTTCAGAAATAGAAGTAGCGTTTTTTCATCTGAAACGTGCTGCGATTTATATTCCAAAGCCTCTCATATAATGCAGAAACACTCAAGCAAGCAAAACACACGCAACGCGTGCACATATTTGTAATGATGCAGAATAGTACAGCCTAGTGCATTTCACACTGGCTGCTAGATTCACTTTCGCCAGAAAGTCGTGTATGCCTAAGGTTGAAAATAAATGATGTTTATAGTGAATGCCCCTATAAATGGTCTTATTTTTACGATTTAGTTTTAATCCAAATGATGCGTGCTAAGTGAGTGAACATCAACAGAATTGCGTGCTCTCTCTCTCTCTCTCTCTCTCTCTCCCTACCGTTAAGTAACTTGTGCATTGTTTTACTTACTTGTTTTTGACATATCCGGCCGAACTACAAACTTTCCAGTGATGTCTGTGAAAAAGATATAGTCACTCGACAAGCTTGCGCATCTGCGCCGCCGCGCACTCTATCGACTCAGCGTGCTTTGTTTATCAGCTCGCGCACATCAGCTATACAGGCGTTAATACTGAATGTTTAACATTATATTCATTGCATACATATACTTCATAGTAGACATCCTTAACTCATTTCTGATGTCTGTTGTTCTGTTGTCGGTGTTTCTTTGTTTGAATATCACATGCTGTGTGGTATCGGCGTTTGGGCATTTTAACGAGTACGAGTATCGTATCGGTGCATCTCTACTATTAATTAAACTAGTTGTTTGCCCGTTCCATTTTCTGTATAATTATAGTAACCTGATTAGTGGCTGGTGTGTGCAGTACCATAAAACTGGAAGATTTTCTAAATGTATATAAGCAGTAGGATTTTCTAGAAAGGAAAATTAAAGAGGAAAAAAATTACTTAGTGTGAATCAAATTAAATTAAATTAAGTGTTAATATGTAATCATGTAATCTGTAAAAAAAGTAACTGTAATCTGATTATGAGCAATTTACAATGTAATATAATCAAATTACAAGTACTTAATTTTTGGAAACTGATTATGTTATCCAGATCACATGTAATCAGTTACTACCCAGCACCGAGCCTTCATGGTACAGACGTCACAATTTGTTTCATGCAGTCAGACGACGAACAGGAAAGAGCAGAGGAAGAGACGATGTACGCACCAAACCTAAAACAAGAACGGCAAGTTCAGATGGCACACCTGCTGCTTGATTTAAATCAGCAGTGTGGGAAAGTTTCGGGTTCTAGAGATGCACTGGTCAACCGGCTATAAATCGGAACCGGTTTTTAGTTTAATTTTGACTGATCTCTATTCCAGAATTGCACACAAACTTCAATTCACACATTTCCCAAAATGTAAATTTTGTCGAATTTTTATGAAGTTTATGAAGACCCCAAAACCAAAGTGTGTACCGAACGTGACTCTTGTGTACCGTATATATATATATATATATATTTAGTATATTTGCTGTTTTAAAGTGCCCTAATTATAGATATTTGAAAATTACCTTTCATGCAGTGTGTAACACAGCTCTAAGTGAATGAAAACAACCTGCAAAGTTTTAAATCTGAAAGTGCACCATATATAAAGTTATTGTCTCTCAGAAGAAAGAGTTGACTCTGAATCGTTTAAACGAGTCGTTTTTAAAACGAATCCCAAGCCGTTTCATTTTGACGTCAACATGAAACATTAGCATATTGCTCACCCACTTGTTGCGCACGCATACCCAGGAAAACTTGAAAACGGTCTGAATGAAAATGCTAATTCATTCTTTGCCACTAGGTGCCGCTTTTGGAGCGGTAAAAATAGCTGTTTCCCTGGTAACAGCTGCACAAAGCAGCACATGCGCTCACAAACGCTGCTTTATCAGGCATTACAGGCATGATGAAATTAAAATGAGACCGATCGGACCAATCACCGCAGATTAGCGTCACGCAAAGTAGGGGTTCGGAAAAATGAATCGTTGAGCGAATCGTTTTGGAGTCGTTGAGCAAGTAAGGTAGAAATAAATGCATATTATAAGACAATGAAAGTGTTTTTTTTTACCTTGCATGCATGTCAACATGTTGTTGGGGACTCCCAAAACCAAAATATTAACCTTTCATGACCCATAATAGGGGCACTTTAATACTTTCTGGTTATCCACATTTTGTTGTATGGAGCTGCTAAACCACTTGAAAATCTAATTCCATCTCTCCCGACAGACTGTATATTATCAACGTGCAGAACTGATGAAAACCAGCTGATAAATGTGTGTGTGTATGTGTGTGTGTGTGTGTGTGTGTGTTTGAAAGGGCTTGCTTGAAGGAAAAGAAAATGATTAGTGTCAAATGTGCTTGCTGATTGTACTCAAAATTAGTTTGAAAGAAAAAAAAAATAGAAAACATTTTTTTAGAATATTGCTTTTAGCCAAAACAAACAATTCCATCTTTGTCATTATGTTTGAGTACTGCAGTAATAGAGAGCAGTGTGGGGAAAGATCATTATGTAAGCTGTATGTAGCCTACAAAATAAGGTTTCTTGCCCTTTTCCTTGCCCACTATCATTAAACTTTGACCTCCTGAAAATCCCAAAGCAGTCGCTTTGAATCTGGTGACCTGTTTCTGTTGGAGTGCAGAGCCTTGCTATTGTTAATTAGTTTTGTTTGCTCAAGTAGGTATCACTATTAGACCACTACTGTTTGTACTTGGGAATTTTAACAAACCCCTAACATTAAGTTTTAAACTTCAAAATGTATCTCGACCCACATTGTTTGTGCTAAGGAAATGAATTATAAATTACACCTCCAAACTTGCAACTTTACAACATCCAAGCAATACCTAACAACCAGTGCTAGAGAGATTACATGAGTCCAAAACTACTGCTTATATACATTTGGAAAGTCTTCCAGTTTTATGGTACTGCACACACCAGCCACTAGTCAGGTTACTATAATTACACAGAAAATGGAAAGGCCACAATTTGACATTTTATGATTTAATTATTAGCTTTTTACCACCTCACGAACCCGTTTGGGAAGCCTTGGTGTAATATAATGTTTAATGCACTTCTTGATGTTGATAACAAAGAACGAAAAGTATTTTCATATACCACTACCACTACAGTGTAGCAAATTAGCTCAAAAAGGAAATGCATATAAATAATTACAATTAATTATGATTAATTACAATTATTTATATCAGCTGCCAGTATTAACTGTAGCAGAATTAAATTGCCATCAACTAATCTGTTCGTCCAGCGAACGTTTAGTGTAATTTCATATCAACTCTAAGAAAAGGATATTTTCATGGCCACAGAAAACAACCTTCTTAATGTAGCCTACTAATGCATTAGAGCATGTAGCTAGATCAGAATCGTAAAGGAACAATAATTTGCAAGGCAGAATCAGAAACTCATGTAATTTGTGCACAAGAGTTTTATTAACTAAACACTAACACAAACTAGTCTAACAAACAAACAAACAAACGATGAAAGTCTTGATGGTTTCAAGGGTTTGGACTTGTGATCACGTTTGTCCGGGTTTGAAGAGTGATGAATTCCAAAGATGTTCTGACTGATGGTGATTGGGAGTTTCTTCCCAGTGGAAAGTGAAAAAGAGCTAAGAGAGACATCAGCTGAGATCCTAGGATCTTTGGTTAATGCAAAGACAAGGCCGAAGCCCGGTGCAGACTTAAGGGTTGCAGAACCGTTCTAGCTCACATCCTCATCTTCTCAGAATCTACCAGAACCGCAGACTGACTGAGGCGGGTCACTGATGTGAGAGCTTTATCTCGTATTGAGCTCACACCACTGGGAGGTCACAGAGCCAATGGTGACTTTCACTTTTGGAGGGAAAGTTTACGACTCTGTCTAAGAGCATGGTATTTTGCATATGTAATTTCATTGGGTGTTGATGCAAAAACTGCTAAAGATTCTTAGAACACTAATATGTTGCATAGGTATAAAAATATAATATACAGTCTCAATTAGATCATCCGAAGACGAATTCATAGAGACCAAACATGGTATATGTAAAGTTACATGAATGAGTGGTTCTATCATAAGCATGCATAAAACAGTATACAATACAAAAGACAATATACAAGAACAGTAACAACATACACAATGACCTGAAGTATATGCGTGTTCATTCATAGAAAGGTTTTCCTATGAATTAATTAGAGAAGAGTCCATTTTTATGGGCATTATGTGTCTGTTTTAGAGAGACTTGAGTAAGAGTTTATTCTCTCGACATACTTTTAGGCCGTAAAAGTTTCTGATCTGGCTGAGGGGTCCTGGTTGCCATGGTAACCAGGGGCCCAGGGTCGTTCCCAGACATGCTGGCACCCAGTATGTTTATTGGGTGAGGGGTCTGTGATTATTTATTAATATAATTTATAATTTCGAAAAACTTTCGAGAAAAAAAAAAGGGGAAGTCGTGGCCTAATGGTTAGAGAGTCGGTCTCATAACCCAAAGGTTGCGAATTCGAGTCTCAGGTCCAGCAGAAATTGTAGGTGGGGGGAGTGAATGTACAGCGCTCTCTCCCATCTTCAATACCATGACTGAGGTGCCCTTGAGCAAGGCACTGAACCCCCAACTGCTCCCCGGGCGCCGCAGCATAAATGGCTGCCCACTGCTCCGGGTGTGTGTTCACTGCTGTGTGTGTGCACTTAGGATGGGATAAATGCAGAGCACTAATTCCTAGTATGGGTAACCATACTTGGCCACATGTCACGTTACTTCACTAATTGATTTGTTAAATCTAATGAACAAATGTATGTCTGATTGGTCCAAATGCTAGGAAAATGCTAGGAACAGTTAGGTCAAAAGTAATCTAAAAGGCATCAAAAAGAATACATTGCCATATGTGTAATCCAACAGATTATTACTAACTACATTTTCTGTTATGTAATTTGTAATCTCAGTAATCAGTAATGGACTACAATTTGTAAGTAATCTGTCCAGCACGCCTACTGTAACAACCACCTTGAAGACCAATGACCTAGCCCAATTCACATTTTTTAAATTTTATTCTTCTGTATACCATGTGCCTCCAGTTTTCACTTCCAGAATACTTGTTTTTTTCTGAATTAATTTCTACTTCTAGGAATATATAAAACCATTTGAACATAATTGTATATCACTTTTTAGCAGGCTATAGAAGCAGGGATTATGTTTGAATTCATCTTGATTGTGATCTCTTTCCAGTCGTGCGGATGCTAAGATGCAAAGATTTGTCTTTTGCATACTGAATGCACGTGTACTGAAATAAATCCAGTCTTAAACTGTGATCTGAAGCCTGTGCTAGCATTTGCAGTGCACTGCATCGGGTTAATGCTCACTAAAGCTCACAGGAGACAAACCTTGCCTCTGATAGACGTGTTTGGGAGTATATTAAACCCGTGAGCTAACGTCGTCCTGCTGGTCTTGCCCCGTGATGTTACCTCTGTGTCATCACAGACCTGAGCTCAGGAGTGGCTCACCTCGGAAATACTACACAAGGAACACTATGCACTGACAGCTATCGCAGGAGAACAGGAGTGCCTGCCCTTTGAATCAACCACAAAAAGATGTGTATTATCCATTTTTGTGTCTAATTTTCTTTATCCAAGGGCAACACTGAGGCATGCAAAAAAAAGAAGACAGCTGCAGTCAAATAAGCCCTTTGAAGAAATACATCAAAAGAACAAATCATCTCGCCGTGTGAGGCATGACAACAGCAGAGGGTGGGACACTGGGTTTGGAGGTCATCTGTAGAGGCTCAGCTTCATTTTTTGGTAGTCCTCCAGTTTTTGCTATTGATGCATTGCAGCAAAAATGGTAAAAAACACAAATGCTTGGGATATTAATAAATAGTTTTCTCTAGGCTTAGTAGATCTAGTTATTTTGGGTTCAGTGCAAGCATTTGTAGTATAATATTTATGAATACTTTTTTTTCTAAAATAGGTTAAAATGTGAAAATGCAAGCGAAAGACATCAATCTTTAAACATTAAAATTAGGGCTGTCAATAGATTTAAATTTATTAATCACGATTAATCACACCCTTGATGGTGATTGGGAGTTTCTTCCCAGTGGAAAGTGAAAAAGAGCTAAGAGAGACATCAGCTGAGATCCTAGGATCTTTGGTTAATGCAACCGAAGCCCGGTAGCCCGGTGCAGACTTAAGGGTTGCAGAACCGTTCTAGCTCACATCCTCATCTTCTCAGAATCTACCAGACTGACTGAGGGGCTGTGTTGAGGCCTGCCAGGCATGGCTGCGCTGGCTCTGGAACTTAGCAAACAGAAGATGGGAAGGTGATGAGAGACGAGCGAAGAGACTAAAAAGCGAGACGGGTCACTGAAGTGAGGCCTTTTAAATTCTGTGGAGGTCACACCTCTCCAGGGTCAAAGAGCCAATGGTGACTTGCACTTTTGGAGGGAAAGTTTATGACTCTTTAGTCCCGTTTCCACCGCAGGAACTTTACCCAGGAACTAGGGACTTTGGGCTGGTACTCGATGTGTTTCCACCGCAGGGACCAGGATCTAAATAAAGTTCCGGGTAAAAACTTGCCCCTCGGAGAAAGGTTTTCCTATGAATTAATTAGAGAAGAGTCCATTTTTATGGGCATTATGTGTCTGTTTTAGAGAGACTTGAGTAAGAGTTTATTCTCTCGACATACTTTTAGGCCGTAAAAGTTTCTGATCTGGCTGAGGGGTCCTGGTTGCCATGGTAACCAGGGGCCCAGGGTCGTTCCCAGACATGCTGGCACCCAGTATGTTTATTGGGTGAGGGGTCTGTGATTATTTATTAATATAATTTATAATTTCGAAAAACTTTCGAGAAAAAAAAAAGGGGAAGTCGTGGCCTAATGGTTAGAGAGTCGGTCTCATAACCCAAAGGTTGCGAATTCGAGTCTCAGGTCCAGCAGAAATTGTAGGTGGGGGGAGTGAATGTACAGCGCTCTCTCCCATCTTCAATACCATGACTGAGGTGCCCTTGAGCAAGGCACTGAACCCCCAACTGCTCCCCGGGCGCCGCAGCATAAATGGCTGCCCACTGCTCCGGGTGTGTGTTCACTGCTGTGTGTGTGCACTTAGGATGGGATAAATGCAGAGCACTAATTCCTAGTATGGGTAACCATACTTGGCCACATGTCACGTTACTTCACTAATTGATTTGTTAAATCTAATGAACAAATGTATGTCTGATTGGTCCAAATGCTAGGAAAATGCTAGGAACAGTTAGGTCAAAAGTAATCTAAAAGGCATCAAAAAGAATACATTGCCATATGTGTAATCCAACAGATTATTACTAACTACATTTTCTGTTATGTAATTTGTAATCTCAGTAATCAGTAATGGACTACAATTTGTAAGTAATCTGTCCAGCACGCCTACTGTAACAACCACCTTGAAGACCAATGACCTAGCCCAATTCACATTTTTTAAATTTTATTCTTCTGTATACCATGTGCCTCCAGTTTTCACTTCCAGAATACTTGTTTTTTTCTGAATTAATTTCTACTTCTAGGAATATATAAAACCATTTGAACATAATTGTATATCACTTTTTAGCAGGCTATAGAAGCAGGGATTATGTTTGAATTCATCTTGATTGTGATCTCTTTCCAGTCGTGCGGATGCTAAGATGCAAAGATTTGTCTTTTGCATACTGAATGCACGTGTACTGAAATAAATCCAGTCTTAAACTGTGATCTGAAGCCTGTGCTAGCATTTGCAGTGCACTGCATCGGGTTAATGCTCACTAAAGCTCACAGGAGACAAACCTTGCCTCTGATAGACGTGTTTGGGAGTATATTAAACCCGTGAGCTAACGTCGTCCTGCTGGTCTTGCCCCGTGATGTTACCTCTGTGTCATCACAGACCTGAGCTCAGGAGTGGCTCACCTCGGAAATACTACACAAGGAACACTATGCACTGACAGCTATCGCAGGAGAACAGGAGTGCCTGCCCTTTGAATCAACCACAAAAAGATGTGTATTATCCATTTTTGTGTCTAATTTTCTTTATCCAAGGGCAACACTGAGGCATGCAAAAAAAAGAAGACAGCTGCAGTCAAATAAGCCCTTTGAAGAAATACATCAAAAGAACAAATCATCTCGCCGTGTGAGGCATGACAACAGCAGAGGGTGGGACACTGGGTTTGGAGGTCATCTCTGGAGGTTCAGCTTCATTTTTTTTGGTACTCCAGTTTTTTCTATTGATGCATCACAGCAAATATGGCAATAAACACGAATGCTTGAGAATACAAATGGATAGTTTTCTCCAGGCTTTGTAGACCTTGTTATTCTGGGTTGAGTACAAGTTAAGCTCAGCATTTGTGATGTAATGTTTATTATGGACAAAAATGAATAAAAAAATAATAATAATACAATCGGCGTTAAACTGTGGGACAATGTAAGCGAATGCAGCCAATCTGTAAATGTTAAAATACTTAGTGTTTTAACTGTACAGCCACAAAATGTAAATAATAAGCATGTTTTCTGTGTAGAGTTACATAAATTTGACAAAGCAATGCCTTGAACCCTAAAATGCTTTATCAGCTGTAAAAATGATTTAAACCTCTTTACGGTAGTAAAGCTAGTCACCAAAAGTAGCTACAGATCCTTTTCCAAATTGTGATTAGCAAGGAAAGAAAACATGTTGGTGGAGACTTGGTTTAGTTCATTGGATGGAGGCAAATTTGAATGCGAGTTTGAGGTTATTTGTAAAAAAAGAGGTGGAGTTTATCCGGACAAAATCATTGGAGAACTTCAGTGTACCTCACCAGCGAGAAGTGTTGTTTTATTTGAAGATCAATTTCTATCATGAAAACTCTTGGAAGATTTTAGCATGGTAACGAATATAACAATGTTAATGTATTTGGTCTTGGCAGAATAGATCTGCTACGCTGATGAATTGATGCTGTTATTGTAGATTATTGCTGCTGCTGCTGCAAAGCAAGTACAGGAACTTGCTACTGCCAAATACATATGCCGATATGGTGCTGTGAGTAGGCCTGGGCCGGGATGAGATTATGACGGTATGATAACCTTAGATAAAAATATCATGGTATCACGGTATTGTGATTACAGCTCTAAAATATGTTATTTTTTAAATGTCTGGGTAAAAAACAACAAAAAAAATTTCCACTGAACACAATACATTTTATTTTTAAGAAACATAGAACATTTTGGAACAGTAAACATGTCAGGCTAAATAATAAATAATTAAAATGAATAATTGAATTCTTCTTAATTAAATTAAGTGCAGTCACTTAAGTGAGCCTAAACCTGCAGCTCAACAATAATCAGAACATAAATAAATTATTTTCTGTAAAAAAAAAAAATCCTTCTAAATGGAAAAAAAATGCAGTCACTTAAGTGAGCCTAAACCTGCAGTTCAATAATCAAAAACATAATTTCTGTAAAAAATAAATTAAAAATGCAGTCATTAAACCTGCAGCTTAATGCAGCTCCCCAACCGGAGGGGGAGGCGTCGTGTGACTCGTTACGCTCTTTGCTGCACACAACTGAGGGAGTCCTTTTATATATACAGTATAATGGAAAATGTCAGTGGTTTTGAAACCGTGCCTTTTCCAAACCGCGGTATACCTTGAAACCAGTTATCGTCCCATGCCTAGCTGTGAGTATTTAAGACATACTGCTGCTGCACAAGTATCATATATAATAACCCGTAGCTGATCTATACAGGTGGAGCTGGGGAAGGTGGAGGGTTTCAGAGTAAAAGTCATTGCACACTGCCTCCGAAACTTTCATCCGTCATAAAAAAATTCGGATCAGGTTCGATTTACTGCGTTTTCGCATCCGTAGCATGCATTTTGATAAGAAAGGGTGAGGAATATGAAAAAACTGAAAAACGCATGCAAAAATTTTGGAGGACCTTAACTCTGAAAGTGTGCTGTGAAATGCTCTAGTGGATGCTAACCAGCCATTAAATGTAAAGCAGCAAGCTTATTGGCTGCGTATGCAACATGAACCAATCAGCTTGTGCCAAGTAGTTTAATGCTGTGAATATCATCAGTTTGCCTTAATGACTCATCAGCCTGCGCCATCTAGAGTTTCATGACAGAACTTGGTATTTACGACATTGCTCCCATTCACTTCTATTGTAATTGCCTCACTGTAACCTCAATTTGTTCTGTTTTTTTGGTGCTATTATGCCACCAAACACTGTTGATAGTGGTTCACTTGTGTTGAATCCATACTATTCAGAGGAAACGAGACCGACACCACCCACAGCTCTTCTCAAGCCTCCTTAACACATGCGCACACTCATACATACATATACATCTTCTGTCACGCTGGAGAGGGCGCCCGGGGTTCGCGTACAGAGCGGGTTGTGCCAAGCCGATCCCGTCAGGATCACGTAGCGGCCGTTGACAGCTCCCTGCACGCATTACGCATTAATACATCCAGCACTAACACATTATCACAGCACTGTCTGAAAGGTGGATCATTGGAAGCTTCCTTGCTGTCTCGACTTCCTCTCACTCTGTTTATGCCTTATTAGTTCGTTGTATAGGTCCTATTATTCCCTACTTTTCTTCCTGTCCTAACCTCTTCAGAGCAGTTAATTGGCTGCGAGAGACATTTCCAGTTCATCAATAGGTAACTATAGACTCCTACTTTTTCCTCAAGATACTGTATTTTTATCCTTGAAAATGAGCACTAAAGCATAAGGAGGAAATGGCTCATCTCTGTTGCGACCCCAACAGTTCGTAGCCTCTTGGCTTGCGACGCCGGTCACATTCTAACAGACAATTTGCCTGCTTGTCTCAGCCTGAGAGGGCAGCTTATCTGTGCTAACACAGCGGTGAGCCGCGAACACACCTTATACCGAGTGGCCTTTTGCATTTTAATCAGCTCATCCTTTTCCTCGACGCTCATCAACTCTTGGCGACAATAGGTGGAAAAGCTCCGACTGTTATTTAATGGGTTCACGGAGGCAATTCTGCGTACTGTCACAAAACAAACAGAGCGCCACTCAGAAGGAAGCTGTTTATGCGGATCATCGGACTCTTCTCAATGTATACTTCTTGACAGACACATCAGAACTGATTTAAAGAACCGCTTTACATCAGACTGATGAAATCAGATGTCTTAGAGGCAGGCTTTTGGGGATGAGGCCAATCTGTCAAAGCAGAAGTAATGAGTCAGAGCTCAGCTGCCATTAGTTATGACTGTGAGGATGAGGAAAGTACCGGAATGCGTCAGCTCGTCTCAAAGGCCATCATAGACTGAACAGACTTGTTTATCACTTTAGGGAAAAAATAAAACTGCATAGGTGAGAGAGGGGTCGCAATTTGCAACATGTTAGGGATTAATCATATGGCAATAAATAAATTATTTTCTAATTTTAATAATTATTTATTTT